ATGACAAACCTAGACAGCATCTTAAAAAGCAGAGACATCACCTTGCCGAACAAACGTCCGCATTGTCAAAGCTGTGATTTTTCCAGTAGCGATGTATGGAAGTGAGAGCTGGACCATAAAGAATGCTGACCACTGAAGAATTGATGCTTCTGAATTGTGGTGCTGGAGGAGACTCTAGAAAGTCCCCTGGACTGCAAAGAGAACAAACTTATCTATTTTGAAGGACATCAACCCTGAGTGCTCACTGGAAGGACAGATCCTGAAGCTGAGGCTCCAATACTTTGGCCATCTCATGCAAAGTGAAGACTCTCTGGAAAAGACCCTGATGTTGGGAAAGCATGAAGGCAAGAGGAGAAGGGGACATCAGAGGACGAGATGGTTGGACAGCGTCATCAAAGCTACCAACATGAATTTGACCCAATTCCAGGAGGCAGTGGAAAACAGGAGGGCCTGCCGTGCTCTAGTTCATGTGGTCACAAAGAATTGGACACGACTTAACGAGAAAACAACAACTTTCAAGTAGATACATTGGGAAAGCATGAAGGCAAGAGGAGAAGGGGACATCAGAGGACGAGATGGTTGGACAGCGTCATCAAAGCTACCAACATGAATTTGACCCAATTCCAGGAGGCAGTGGAAAACAGGAGGGCCTGCCGTGCTCTAGTTCATGTGGTCACAAAGAATTGGACACGACTTAACGAGTAAACAACAACTTTCAAGTAGATACTTATAGGATCATTCCTCAAAAGTTCATGCATGATCTTTACCTAAGCAGCACCTATGTTAAGGTCAGTTGCTATCTAAAAGGTTACAAAAAAAGGGGAAAAAAGAAAGAAAAGAGAGAGATTAAAGCTGGCCATTCAAATAATTTGAATTGCCAGTTAAAGTCTTCTTGCTTTTATATCCAATTTTTATGAATGTTAAAGCAAATGATTCCTCATCTTATATGACCAGGCTTGGGTAAGGGTGGGAATAGTAGCTTTATCCTCCACAGGAAATTAAACTGGCATACGGAATACACTAGTAAAGCCGTAGTTATGTGCTGCTCTTGTTCTTTTCATTCTGAACAATACTTAAGGGATCAATATGGAATATGAATTTATTTTTGTACCTTAAAAGTGATTTGTTTCTCTTCAAAAAGATTAAGTTTGCATTCTTCTTTCAATAAAAGCTGCCCCCTGAAGTGTATTTTATTTAGGTCAATGGAAGCTATTTTCTATGTACAGTATTATTATTGTTTTGACTCATAGTGTTAGAGCCACTCTCTGGGTGGTTCACAACATAATTATGCAAGGAACATCACCATCTCACACACACACACACACCCATGAGCTGGGTACCAATCTTCAGCTGGCTACCAAACTCATCAGGATTGAACTTGGGTTGTAAAGAGAAGCTTGTGCAGTTTAATCACTGCATGACAGGCCTTATTGTTTTAACTTATGTACCATCCCATAGTGCTAATGTACTATTACTTGCCATATTAATCAATATATCCCATTAAATACTCCTGTCCTTTGTTATGGCCATCATAAGAATTCTCTACATATAGGCTAATAACTATAATGGAAAATTCATGTTCAGGAAGGTCATGCTCTCAAGTCAGTGCTATAACCTTCAAACAGAAGGGCTGAAGTACATTATGAATTGAATTTTAATTCAAACTGCAGCTGATAGAGTGGCAACAAAACTGGCTTTTTAACAGCTATATACAAATCTTTGGTAGGGCTCTGAAAGAGGATGGTTTCTTAAGGCTTAAGGTGACTGCAAAAAAGCTCAGCGTTGATACCCTAGGGCCTAGGCTCAGTGGCTCTGTATCCTTTAATTCCACGACTGGCTTTTGCACTAGATACTGACTGGTGGATTTGGATGGCTTCAGTAAAACTCTCAAGACAGAGGTCTGTCTTCCAGTGTTTTGCACTGTAAGGACTAGGATTACAGTATTTTTTTAAATCCATGTACAGAATTTAGTAATTTACAGGACTATTGGGCTACAGCCAGAATTGTGCTAGTACAACATGACAAAACTTTATTCCCTTGTCTGCCTGCCAGAGCTTTCTATGCTATCTGAAAACTGGCTATGGACAAAAATCTCAGGTTTCTACAATAGGATTTGGGGGCTCAATGGCGATTGAGTCCTTCCTGCTTTTGCTGAAGGAAACGATTCCTTTTTGGCTGTTATTGATCCTCAACTTAATACAAAAACTGCAACTAGTAACACAATATTTGAACTTGACATTGGAGGTTGAAACCTTTTAAACAAGGAGGTGGTGGTGGGAAGAAAGCACAATCTTTTTATGTTAATAATTTTAGAAGAGGTAGCTACGTTAGTCTGCGCAAGCATATCAGGCATAATCTAAAGACACCCCGAGTAGACATGGTCTAGAGGGGCGGGGTAAAAATCAAATAAATAAATAAATAAATAAATAAATAAAAATAAATAAATAAAATAGGGAAAAAAGGGACAAAAGTGGACATGATCCCGAAAAGCTCACACTGAAATCTAACAGTTAGTCTTTAAGGTGCAACATATTTTTGTCCTGGTTTTGTTTTGTTTCTTTTAATCAAATAAATAAATAAAAAAATAAATAAATAAAAATAAATAAATAAAATAGGGAAAAAAGGGACAAAAGTGGACATGATCCCGAAAAGCTCACACTGAAATCTAACAGTTAGTCTTTAAGGTGCAACAAGTTTTTGTCCTGGTTTTGTTTTGTTTCTTTCGATGTTGCCTCTTTATATTATTAGTATCTACCCCCCCTTTTTTTTTTCTTGCCAACACAGCCTGCCAAAACAACGTGGCCATTCCCCCCTCTGAGCAGCCCGCGAGGCTACTTTAATACACATCCCCAGTCCAAGACCACAGATTTTAAGGCTGTTTTCCCCTGTTCTCTGAGGATGGGACTCACGACGGCTCTCCAGGTCTTTTATCCCTTAGACTCGGGGGCAGGAAAAGGAGCCATTCTCCGTCCCTGAAGCCGGCTCACCCTCTTTGGGGCTCCTGCCACTCACCAACGCGGGAGCTGAAGGAAGCCAAGGGAGCTCCTCCTTTGGACAGATTAGCTTGGAGGGAGGAAGCTGTTCCCGTGAGGGAGCCGGAGCTCACTTGGGGCGCCAGCCGCCCCTTCCGAGTGCGGGCGAGCCCCTGACCAAAGCCACTAACCTTTCCGCGCAGGGCCGGCCTCAGAGCAGCCGGCGAGCAGGGGACCGAAGCGCCGACGGGCTGCCCTCAAAAGGCAGCGCCCCGTAACCAAGGGCGACACGGGCGCCGTCATCTCGCCGAGGCTTCCGCTACACACAAACACGCACCCCTAAACCCTCTCCGCCGCCGCGCCGACGGGCTGCCCTCAAAAGGCAGCGCCCCGTAACCAAGGGCGACACGGGCGCCGTCATCTCGCCGAGGCTTCCGCTACACACAAACACGCACCCCTAAACCCTCCCCCCTCCGCCGCCTCCTCCTCCTCCCTTTTCCTTCCCGAGGAAATGTGGTCTTGGAACCCGCAACGTTTCTGCCACGACAACTCCCTGACTTCGCCAAGCCGGCTCCAGTCACCTTCGCTCGCGGCCTAAGAGCCGGTGTCGCTCGTAAAGACTACGAGACCCAGAATGCAACGCACCATCGACTCATTCGGGCGGACAGTAACCCGGATGTAAAGGCATGCCGGGAAACGTGGTTTTCCATGCAATGCTGCCGGCAACCAGAAGCGGGAGGGAGGTCGTAGTACGAATGTACGCTTGGTCCAAAAGGCGCCAGCTGAAGGGTCTTTTGAATTAAATAAATAAATTCGTCATGCTTAGTGTTCATGGAGAGGTCATCTGGCCGAGCGCACATTCCTTAGTTACACCCCAGTTGAATTACTGTAACCCTTCAGACCCTGGCTTTGGAAACTGTTCCGTGGGTCCAAAAGCCTGCAACTAGATTGTTAACGAGGGCTAGTTACAGGGATCACAACACCCATTAGTTACAGCAGCTCCACTGGCTGTGTGTGTGTTTAGTCGTTTAGTCGTGTCCGACTCTTCGTGACCCCATGGACCAGAGCACGCCAGGCCCTCCTGTCTTCTACTGCCTCCCGGAGTTGTGTCAGGTTCATGTTGGTTGCTTCGCAGACACTGTCCAGCCATCTCATCCTCGGTCGTCCCCTTCTCCTCTTGCCATCACACCTTCCTAACATCAGGGTCTTTTCCAAGGAATCTTCTCTTCTCATGAGATAGCCAAAGTATTGGAGCCTCAGCTTCAGGATCTGTCCTTCCAGTGAGCACTCAGGTTTGATTTCCTTTAGAATGGATAGGTTTGTTGTCCTTGCAGTCCAGGGGACTCTCAAGAGCCTCCTCCAGCACCACAATTCAAAGGCATCAATTCTTCGGCGGTCTGCTTTCTTTATGGTCCAGCTCTCACTTCTATATATCACTACAGGAAAAACCATAGCATATTCTGGGCACAGTTCAAACAGCGGTTTTTCACTTATAAAGCTTTAAATGGCCTGGGTCTGAGCTATCTCAAGGACTGCCTCTCCCATTATCAGCCTGTCCGGGTGTTAAGATAATTGGGGAGGCCTTTGTCTGTCCTTCCAGGTGTGTTTGGTGGCGACAGGGGAGAGGACCTTCTCTGTCTGTCCTTGCTCCCAGACTCTGGAACTCCCTCCCAGGAGATCCACCAAGACCTTTCCTTCAGGCAGGCTTCTCTTTAGGGACTGGCTGTCTAAGAGAAGTTTTTTAATGGGATGGTTTGTATTTTCGTTGTTTCTAAATCTGTTTTAATCTTTAATTTTTAATATAAACGTTACTTAATTATTTCAAAATGGTTGAATAATTTACTGTTTTTAGCTTTCAATATTGTGTTTTCAATGGATGTAAGACACTTAGTGTCCCTTTTTAGGCGAAAGGGAGAGTAAAAATATTTTAAATTTTAAAAATTACTTGGCACGTTTATCTGACTGTACGTAGGACACTGAATCATATTCCAACCTCAGCTATTCATTGAAAAACAAGGCACAAGAGAGCAGAGCTGAAAGTTATTTTTAAGACTGAAAAAAAGGATATGTGCACAAAGATAATCTTAACTGGGTGGTGGTAGAGTAGTGCTCTTGCTCCCCAAGCATGATCGTTGTACCACCGCTCAATTATGGATTGCTTTATAATTATATTTACATCTGTTCTTTTTAAAAGAAGAATGTAAGGATTGCTCACTTAACCCAGTCTTTAAACATTGAAACCTCTGGCGTGGTGCCTGTGGACTTTTAGGAGCTTTTTTTCTGCAAAAGAAGCAAAATCTCTTTTTCCCTCTTCCCCACCCCACCTTACACACACAATCACGTGAATACTCTTGAGTGTTTTTTAAAGTGAACCTAAGGGCAAAATGTGCTTAAACATTAAAAGAGTCCCTTTCTGTGTGTGAAGTGATCTTGCCTGGGTGCAGTATTGAATATGATGTTCTGTGCCTCACTTTCACTCTTGCCTTCAGCAGGAATTTCCAGGAAAGCTGTGTTTCTTAGAGATTTATTTATTTATTGACACATGCTTTTGATAATTGCAGTCCCTTCCTCAAGTACAATGCAGAATTGTTTCGAGCAGTACATTTGGGGATGGAGCTTGGGTCAAGGTGGCTGATAGAGAGACTTGGGTATCTAGTCTACCAGTGCAGGCATTAATGTATGTGTGATTCTTGGTGAGAACATCCTGCGAAGTTGAGGAAGGGCTTGGAAAGTTATACAGTATTTTGGATCACAGCTCCCAGAAACCCTCAGTCAGCACTGAAGGATTTTGCAGGTTGTATTCCAAAAATAACTTTGACAAGCTTTGAATTTATTACTTACTAATGGTGAAATCGTCCTGTGACATTATTATCATGTACATTATTTATGCTACACATACATATTGATAATATAATATCAACAAAGTCACCACTATAGTTTTTTTTGTTTAGTGAGTAAATTAACAGAGAAGGGTGAATTTGTGCTCATCTTTCTTGCAAAATGTACAAGTGCCTAACATATTTAAAAGAGTTTATTATATCACATAAATTCAAAATAGTAAGATAAAGAGTAAAAATTATTTTAAAAAACAGCCAAAATATGCCAAAATATAAACTGCAGATAAAAAAAATCAAATAAAGAGGCACATAAAGGATGCATGGAATACAAGCAGCCTACAAATGTTGTTCAATACCGAGAGTGGTGCAGTAGACAGAATGATGGGATAAGACTCAGGGGGACTAGGTCTGAATCCTTACTCAGCCATGGAAACTCATGGGGGGCAGTAGAGCTGAAAAAAAGCACTCTTTAATTATCTCATTTACCTTGAAAGGCCTATTAGCATCACTGTGTGTCAGTTTGGACTTGATGGCACATAACAACAGCAACAACTGTCATTACAAATTCCTAAAGATTCTTCACAGCTGCTTATAAGCTGGTATATCAGAGAGGGAGAAAACAACCAGAGACCAATTGGATTTTTAGTGCTATGTACAGTATCTAATTTAATTCTGAGTACTTAGTAAATCAATACATTTGTGTACACACACTCATACTTTCATCCCCTACTGCTGGCTGACCAGGGCAAACAAAGGGATGTGTGAGCAAGATTGGCATGCCTTTTATATGGGTGTCTTTCCCAATAAACACCTCATTTTTTCATGTTTTTGTAGCTTTGGGGTTCTCTGCTTGAAGTGCTTTCTCATTGCTTCCAGATCACATCTGTTATAATTGTTTTCCTATGATTCCTGTTGATTCTGTGGCTTATCAGTTCCTCTTCTGCTGATCTGATAGTTCAAACACCTATTTACAGGTTTTTTTTCTCTACATGGAGCACTCTGCCCTTTGGACACTTGCTTTGCACAGTCCAGGCACCTTTGCCTTCCATTGGCCAGGCCTTATCTTAATTCCATTATTGTCTATTATTACTAATTCTATTACCTATTCATAACACCATTTTCCAGTGAAAGCCAACCTAAACAGAAATGCGTACACCATAAAACAACAGATGACAGAACTAGTGAAGAATTAGAGAAGGCTAGTTCCAAATCCCAAAAAGTCATTTGCCACATATTGGTCAGTACAGGAAACAGTGCGAGGAGTTCCCAGCACTGAAGACTTGCTCTCTCATGAATAGTCAGAACCACCTGAATATGCACACACTCTCGTTCTATCTCTGCAAGATGTTCCAGGTAAAAGCCAGGTGAGGCATATATTAAGAACCCCCCTCTTTTTTGCCACTTTCCTGCTGCTTCCTGCTAAATCTGTTTTGCATAGAAGAATTGCAACATGTTTATTTTAATTGCCTACAGTGATCATATTTTGTATATCATTTGCATGTACCCAGAAGCTATGAGCCCTCCTGAGAAGCTCTCCCTGGAACAGCTGCTATTGGCATTTTATTACATGTGTGTAACATGGAGTTCCAGTTTCACGTACTCAATTTCTGCAGACTTTTGTGAGAGTGTCAAACTCTGAGCATTTGCTTTTAAAGATATTCACAGTATTTTCTGCAAACGGCAAAGAATGGAGACAAACAAGGGATATTAGAAAGAGACACCAGAAAAGAGGAACTATCCTTCATGAATAGGGACAATTGGGAGGTTTGGTGGTATAATGCAGAATTAATGAGAGGATCAAGTTGGCTGTATGCTGGCAATTCTGTATGTAAAACAACCCCCTTGGGCTGGATAGTGGGAACACCCTCAGGCCCTGCTAAACCATCTCATATTCATAAGTGGCCTTCATAATTCAGCTAGAACAAAATGACTACATGCTTTGAGATCAATGAGCTTAAGCACACATAATTCTCTGGTGGATTGTGGCCAAGGAAAATAAAGCAATCTGCACCTAAAAGTGGTAGGTAAATTATTGTTAATTATGCTGCATTGACAATAGTTGGATTATTAATGTGGTTTTAATGACAATAATCTTTCTGAGGCTCTGTAACAATGAGGAATAATTTGGTCAGAGCTTCTTTGTCTTGTCCCATTAGGACAGGGGTGGGGAAAATGCAAACCTCCAGATGCTGTTGAACTGCAGTTCCCATCAAACCTAGCGAGCAAAGGGAATACTACTGGGAGCTGCAGTGTAATATTTATTTATTTCGTATATTTTTAACCCACCTTTTTCCTTAAAAAGGACTCAGGTGGCTTACATCTTTAAAAGACAATATTTAAAGCTTAAAACAGAAAATATATAAATACTAAAACGGATCGAACAAATACCACACTTAAAAAACAGTAAACAAAAGCAACACCAGAAACAAGCAAAGTGGTGAGGTACAACAATCTACCATATTTTTCACTCCATAAGACACACCTTTCCATAAGACGCACCAATTTTTTAGGAGAAGAAAACAGGAAAATATAATCTGTTTTCTTCGCTCCATAAGACGCATAGACTTCCCCCCCTGTTTTGTGGGAAAAAAGTGCGTCTTATGGTGCGAAAAATACAGTATTTAAAAACCTCACCCAGGCAGCCTGTTGCTAAGGGAAAGCTTGTCTGAAGAAAAAGGTCTTTGCCTGCTTGCAGAAGGACAACGAAGATGGGGCCAGGCCAGCTTTCTGTGGGAGGGACTTCCAGAGTTTGGGAGCAGCAACAGAGAAGGTCCTCTCCCGTGTACCCATCAACACCTGTGAAGGTGTTGGGACCAAGAGGAAGGCCTCTCCTTATGATCTTAAAATGTGAAGGCTGCATTTTGCCCGTCCCACGTTGTGACTATAAGAGGGTAAGTGGTAATGAGTCAGACCATTGGTCCATGTAGCTCAATATTATCTATACCAGTTCTTGGCAACTCTCTAGAATTTCAGATGACAGCTTCTTTCAGCTCTTGCTCAAGAGGTCAGGGACTGTATTTTCTGTTTACTTTTCTCAGGATATCAGCTATTCTTGTATTCTCCTTCTCCTTCATATTATCACTTACCATAGAACAAAACTGAAATCTACAAAATAAAATAGAATAGGAACCTGATAAATGAGGAGAATGAGCATATGTGAACAAAAGAGTGTTACTGTTACAGTATATGGATTTGTAGCTGGTTGATAGGCAGTATACAAAGAACACTTATCAATGATTCCTTGTCATCCTGAAGAGAAGTGGCAAATGGGATACCGCAGGTTTCTGTTTTAGGTCCACTGTTACTCGATATTTTTATAAATTACTTGGATGATGGTGTGGAAGCAATGCTGATCAAGTTTGCAGAGGGCACCAACCTTGAGGTGACAGCTAATAAAACAGAATCGGAATTTAAGAGAAACTTGATAGATTGGAGAACTGGACCTAACAAAATTAAGTTTCAACAAGAAAAAACGTAGTCCTGCAGTTAGGTGGCAAAGCGAGATACATGGATCTGAGTAGCATGGTTTTTGCTATTCACAGTTCCACCTCCAATCAATCAATCAATCAATCAATCAATCAAGTGCAATTATTTGTTTCCAGGAAGTAGCCTGAGAAAGGTGGGTCTCGGGCTTACCTAGGGCCATGTTGTTAGCAATGTGGCAGCCCTTGGTTTGATGGTAGTGGCCCAGCTGGCTTCCTCTCCTGTCATGGCAGCTGGAGAGGGTATTGGTGCATGTCAGGAGGCTGATGCAGGTTAGGGGAGGTATATGTGTGGATCAACTGTTTATACTTTGTAGATATATTTTGAGGGGCATAAGAGTTATACATGGATTTTGAACTACATGGGGTTCCAGCGCTGTTGAAAGGAGAAGTGTATACAAATTCAGGATAGCAGGCCGTTGGTTCCAAAGTAGCACTTGTAAAAAGGAGCTAGGAGTCTTAGTAGAACCACAGCCTAAAAATGGGTTAACAATGTGACATAGCAGCAAAAAACCCAAATCCAAACGAAATACTGTACCAGGCTGCATTAACAAAAGTATATTGTCCAGATCAAGGGAATTAATAGTACCACTCCGCTCTGTTTTGTTCATGCCTTATCTGGAATACTCTTGCCAATTCTTGGCACCCCCATTTAAAAACGATGTTTACAAGCTGGAACATGTCTTGAGGAGGGTGACCAGGATGATAAAAGTTCTGGAAACTAAGCCTTATGAAGTATGATTCAGAGAATCAGACACGTTCAGCCAAGGGAAAAGACTGAGAGGTGACATGATTGTTGTTGTTGTTTAGTCATTAAACTGTGTCCAACTCTTCATGATCCCATGGACCAGAGGACGCCAGGCCCTCCTGTCTTCCACTGCCTCCCGGAGTTTGGTCAAATGTGACATGATAGTCATCTTCAATTATTTGATGAGCCAGCATATGGAAGATGCAACAAGGTTTTTCTTTTGTTTCGTTTGCTTTTGTTTTTGTCTAGCTCCAGAAGGCAGGAGTCAAAGTAATGGATCCAAATTACAAGAGAGGCAATTTTGACTAAACATTAGGAGGAACTTCCTGACAGTAAAAGCTTTTCAACAGTAGAATGGATTGCTTCAGGAGTTGGTGGATTCTCCTATATTGGAGGGTTTTCAGCAGAGGTTAGATGACCACTTTTCACCGTTGCTTTAGCAGTGGATTTTCTGCTTTTGCGAGGAGCTGAGGTTCCTTCCAGCTTTGCAATTGCATGATTCTATGATTAATTTTTAAACTGTGTTTTATGCATATAATTTAGAACATAATCCTATAAATGTGACTTGGAAGCAAATCCTGTCGAGTGTGATAGGGCTTACTTGCAGTGTCTGTGGAAATGTACTGTTAAAAATTATACCAAATAGCTTCTCCATGAGTTTTAACAACCCATTTCTTTCTGTCTCCACATCCTACCCCATTTTGGAGCCTCTACTGGTTTCAGTTCACTCTAGATTGTTTAATTCATCAACACCTGGGCCCATTTAACAAAGAATTCCAACACAAAACACTGTGAATTGAGTAGACATTTGAAAAAGGCACTGTAATTGTTGGAAGCAATATTTTTAGAAACTCAAAGAAGGAAATAAACAACTTCAGTAAAAGTGATTTAAATAACAAATAACATCTCTTTATAAACAGCTTAGCTCCTTGAGAACAATGAATAAACAAGGAGACAAGAGTCTTTCTTCCCCTCTTTGCATTATTAACTCTCATCACGATATGAATGGGTGAAATGTCAGGAATAATTGGAGAAAATCACAGCGCAATCTTCGGCAAAAACATCTGATTTATTTAAATTGTCACTGCTCATTCTTAATAAATTCTCTCTTTAACCTTTTGATCTGCAATCCATCAGGCTAAAAACTGCATTTGTGTGCAATGAACATTCTTCATCTTCTTACATGGTATCAACAAAACTGTGTATTACTGCATGTTGAATGAAGAGCAAACATTGCTTCTTGTACTTCCTCTCTCAGGGATTGAAATGACCTAGGGCATGGCTCCAATCACAGTACCTGGGAATTCGCATGAGACAAGATTCATTGCTAAATATAGCTATGATGCTCCTGACAGTAAAGAGCAGCTTTAGAATACATGCAGAATACATTCTACATCTATTTTAATTTACCTTCTTCCTAATGCAGGTCTGTCTTTTCAGTTGCAAACACTTGGGTTTTTAATTGTGCATCTGTGAAAAACGATATAAGCATGCCTAATCCAGCTGTATGATTATAGCACCAAGCAACCAAAAAAAGAAGTGGGGGAGGAAACATTGTGAAGGTTACAGTCTAATTTCAAATGCAGGTCAGATTTCTTCTTCATACCATACTGGGTATTTTTCTGTATGGTACAATGAACAAAAGAGAGGCAGAGAGAGAGAGAGAGAGAGAGAGAGAGAGATTGCAACTTCTTTTATTTTGTAGTTTGGTACATGAAAACCACATATTTATGGTCCCACAGTTCCATCCAGCCAAGAGAGGTTGCCTCCTCTTTCTAAACATCTTGTGGCCTTATGCCTCCTTCTCTGCTCCTGCATTCAGAGAACACGCCTCTTCTATTATAAGTGGTGTTTGATTTTATTTGATTCATTTATTTAGATGTTTTATTATTCTGTTGTTAACCACCCAGAATAGTGCTATGCACTAATGGGGCAGTATGTGTGTGTACACACACACACACACACATACACACACATATTTATATAAAAATGGAATAGATAAATAAATCTTATGGCCTGTCATTCATGACGAAAAATAAGTGGTTGCCGAATGTCCAATAAGGGCTCATCAGTTTTGTCTTCACCTAAAAGCCTATCAGTCTGCACCTGCAGTCCTGCTATATACTGGGGAGGAAGCTAAGCTGGCTGGTTTTGCGGGCCATGGAATATGGGACAGATGCAGAGTTGGGGCTGCTTCATAACTGCTTAAATTACATTGTGTAAACACTATGATAAACAGTCTTAATTACCTTTTCCTAATGGTAAAACTAGGAGAGCACAGGTTAACGGATGATGAATATAACTCTGTCAATATTGCATCATAGCGGCAAAGAGATTGCTTGGTTACACAATTGCATCAAGGCAACGCACAAAGTAAGCTACTCCTTTCCCCACAAAAGTAGATGAGATACTGGTCGTACAATTTGCAGTTGCGGCAATGGCTTCTTACAAACATAAGTAGCTGGTCTCTTGGTGGAGAGGCAAGACCTTGATGTGGGGGTAGGGAAGATCTAATACTCTGCCCCTTTCCCCAGTCCTTTGGACAATGCAAATTTGGATCAGTGGAGTAGGGACATGCTGCTAATTTCATTGGGGGAGGGCGGTCTCTTTATTTTGTTCCTACTATTTCTTTTCCACCCTGTTTGCCTCAAAATAGAGTTGCTATCTTCCACTCTTCCTAATATGGGCAGCCTAATTAGCATATCATGCAAATTAGGTCAGATTGCACTGTGTATAAATCTGCACAATATGCTAATTAATACAGATTTTTTTTCATACTTTGCAAATCAAAACCATTGATTGTTGCATTAGTTTTTCACCAATGGCCAGTATCCATTGGTGAAGAAATACTAGTTACACCAGTATAGTGGGAATGATGTCAGTGAAAGTGGCAGATCTGTAGCTAATTAAAGAATCCCTTCACATACACTCCGGAATCAGAATCTGGATTCTTGGAAATTCTGGGAGTCATTGTCTAAGAAAGTAACTCTGCCAGTCTATGCTTTCCGATAAGGACAAATATATCAATTTCCTATGCAGATTTACTGAGGTATAAGACTAATTTAATTTAGTAGGACATAAATCTCAGTGGGTGTATCAGGAACAAATACATTTTGAAGTATTTCCCTCTCATGGTCTGAAACATTGTCCTAGAAGTTTACACACACATACACACACATGTTCAATAACAGGAGCCATCAGTTCAATAATAAAAATAAAAATAAATAGCAGAATCTTTAATAATTTATTCTAGCCCCCCTCCTTTTCTCAAAGCAGTGCCCAGCTGTGGTGTTTGCCCTGTGGCCCCTGTTTGTTTCACCAAACACAGAACTCACAAAGGTATCTCAACATGCCCTTTAACACACTGCCATCAGTTGATCTCTTTATCAACCTATATTTCTTATGAAATACTGAGGTCCATTCATTACTGAACTTTTAAACAGACACAGGTTTATTGATTACAAGTTGTTTTAGGAATAGTTTTTAAGCAGGTTCTTACAAAGCTTCAGTATTTTACTTTAACTTCTTCTATCTTAATTAATACAGGCCACACTCTGACTAATCACTCCTTAAACACTCTTTGTTTCAAACCCCTAAACTCTTTCCCTCTTCTCAGTCTCTCTGACTGAACTCAAGACTTTGACTCACCCCTCCCTTCTAGTTTCTCTGGCTCCGCCTCCCAACAGCTCTCTGTAGCGTTCCCCTTTATTATGTCAATGGTTCATGCTTGTTATGTTAATTGTTCATGCATATTCATGTTGCTGAGAGGTGGAGCCGAGAGATATGTAATAAAGAGGTGGAGTCAGAGAGGGAGTCAGTAAGTAAGAGTCAGTCAGTCAGAGTCAGGGAGAGTGAGAGAGTGGAGAAGGAGATAGAGTGTGGTATTTGGGGGATCTGAGGTGATTAGAGTGAAAAGAGAATAAGAACTGTAATAACAAATAGAAGTTTGTGATTAATGATAATAGAAGTTACCTATGATTAATAATAACATCTGTAATCAATTAAAAAGTTTTATTTAAAAGACAGTGGAGTTTGCACCTCCATCTTCATCCTTCCATAATTAAAGTTGAATTAGTGATCAACTGGTGGCAGCGGGGTGAAAAGGAGTAGTAGTTTGCCTTTGTGTGCTCTGTGTCTGGACGGTCAGGCAAGGGGCACAAGGGGCGAATGCCACAATTGGTATCCAGCCAGTGGGATATGAAGGAATCCAGTGAAGCCTGAGTTTGGATACGAAGAAATCCAGTCAAGCCTGAGTTTAAAAAGAATTTCCCTTGAGTCAAGGGTACCTTTTAGACAGAGGTCTCTGGCAAAGAAATTTGATTCCTCACTAGAGCTTTTGGGAAAAGCTTAGTGGTGGGGGCTTCTGAACTCAGATCTGGGGGGAGTCTAAGATAGGGAATGACTCTGAAAGAAAATTCCTGTTTTTTACCTCAAGATTTGAAGACCCAGTGGGCTAGCTTAAGGCTCAAGGCTCTAAGAATTTAGAGAGCACTTGTGGAAAAAGGGGTCAGAGCAGATCTAAGGGAAGAGGAGAAAAAGCCTTTGCTTGAAATAGAAATCATTTAAGTGACTGGAAGTAAAAGAAAAAAAGACAGGTCCATTATAAAATCAGTAGAAACACACTCTAGAAAATGTCACTGAGATAAATATGCCTCCCAAAGGAACTAAAAGACCAGTAATAATGAAAACTGAATCTCAAGAGGTACAAAGTTTGGTACTTCAGGAAATGGAGGGAAATAGAGAGCCTTTAACTTTAGGAGAGCAGTTAGAGACAGAGAAAAATGCCTCTGAAAGACCAAGTATCCTAAGTTTTCACGATTTTCTAAGATGGAAATCACAACAGGAATTTAAATTGAAAGAATTAGCGATCAAAGAAAGAACCATGAAATTAGAAAAGATAGGAAAAGCTGAGCAAGATGTCAGACAAATGGCATTTGAGCAGGAAAAAAGACAAATGGAGCTGGAGTTAAAACAAATGAAATTTCAAATAGAAATGAAAAGATTAGCATGGCCTAGTTCTCAGACCCAAATGAAATCTGAGGTAAATTTTAACAAGCAGAATTGAGACAACAATAAGAAGCCCTTAAATAAAAATTACCTCAGCAAAACAACAGGAAATGAAGGCCAGAGTGGTGCCTCAGCTAAATTGGTATGGCCTAGTCCTCAGAACCAAATGAACTCTGAGGAATAGTTTACCAAATCTCCTCAGGATGAGAGAAGGAATTACGGATGCTGCAAATGCGGCGAGCCTGGTCATTTACAATTCAATTGTACAAAAAAAAAACAAACAAACCTAAAATGTGGAGAATAATGGCCAGAACAAGAAAGTATACTGCTTGGGCACTATGGAGGCCTCTGAGGGAAACCGTGGCCCAGGTTCTGTCTCCATGGCAACCACAACAACTGAGCAAGAAGACATTCCTGTAGCCCCTATAGTCCAGTGTTTTTAGATAAAAAATGATAATACCCCTCTCAAAAAAGCTGGTGAAGAGATATTAGTGGGAGGAAAGAAATACATTGCTATAAGGGAACAGGATCTCAGATTTATATAGTACATTCTGATTTGATAGCCCAGGATGATGTAATTCCAGGCAGAACTATGACCTTAAAAGGAATTGGGAAAGAATCTGTAGAGCTGAAAGTGGCAGAAGTTCAGATAACTATGGGAATTGGTCTGGAAAGTGGCAGGTAGCAGTTTCAGACAAAATACCAGCTGCTTTTCTAATTGGTTGGGACTTAATAGAACATGTCAGGAGTGCTTTTGTACTTACATGCTCAAAGGGGGGCCAAACATTACCCACTGCAGCAGGATTGGATACAGCAGCAGGGGAAGGCCTGGAGGGAGAGAGTCAAGGAGAAGAGAGTATGAGTAGTGTGAGAGAGTGGAGAAGGAGATAGAGTGTGAGTTTGAGGAAATCTGAGAGGTGATTAGTTAGGAGTGTATTCTCAAATAAGAAGATTGTTGTTAATAATAAATTTACCTAAAGAAGATATTCATGAATCACTATCAATTTCTGTAATCAATAAACAAAAGTTATATTTAAAAGACTTTGAAGTGTGGACCTGAATCTTCATCTTCCTGAAGTAATGGTGATTTAGTGATCACCTGGTGGCAGCAGTGTAAAAGAGGGATTGTTTGCCTTCGTGTGCTCTGAGTCTTGACGGTCAAGCAAGGGGCATGAGGGTGAACGCCACACTCTCATTGGCACATGCCAATAATCTTCTACCTGAGCCAAAACAGGGTGATCACTACACCAGCTAACCTCCCAAAAGCCTGTGGAAAATAAATTAGACTGTAATGTCTCTGGAATGTCATATACCAATAGAATTGTAGAGCTGGGAGGGACCTCAAGTGTGACTGAGTTCATCTCCCTGTCAAACAGGAAATGCAGTAAGATGCAAAATGTTACAGTGTTTCAGTGAAAACTATTTCACCCTGCCAATAGCATAATACATGTGAACTCAATCTAAGCCGTGGCCATTGTTGTGAGCAAGGAAGTTAACAACCCTCATGCCAGCTTCTTGATCAGGAAACCCACCACACCTGCCTTTCCACTGGACGGGACTGCTGGAAGGATAACAACAAGTGTAAATGCTGCAAGGATTACAACTGACTCCAAAGTGCTTTGAAGTCATATGGTTGAATGGCTTCTTAAGCATGCCTCTATCTTCCCTGGAGGTAAGGTCTTTAAGAAGAAGATAGAAGATGTGTGTGTGTGTGTGTGTGCAATGGTTGCTATCTGGAATATTGGAGATTTAGCAGAACAAAACAATGGTCCACAGACTGGGAATGCTCAATATAAGTTCTGATCCCCAAGAAAGAAGATGCCAAAGGAGTGCAAAAACTATAGGACCATTGCTTTAATTCCTCATGCAAGCAAAGTAATGGCCAAGATGTTAAAACAAAGATTTTCCCCTTTTATGGCGTGAGAAATGCCTGATGTTCAAGGTGAAATAGTTAGGGGTATTGTATGCCTTGGTTCAATCATCTATCCAAATGGGGACTGCAGCCAAGAAATCGGAAGGGGATTGAGACTAGGAAGGGCAGCAGTGAAGGACAAAACATTTTGGAGATCACTCTTTCAAAGGGTTGCCATGAGTTGGAGGTGACTTGATGGCACATAACGATAGCAGAACAGCACATCGCAAGTGATATATGTCACTCAGAGAGGCTGCATGCCTCTTCATGGTTGGGAATTTGATTTCCCACTGTACCTTCTGGGAGAAGAGCCAGCCTGATTGGCCTTGGGCAAACTGCACAGTCCCAGACCGCCTTCAATAGATGGGAATGGTGAACCACTTCTGAGAACTCTGCCTAGAAAACCCTAAATGGCCATAATAAAAATCATCTGGTCCTTAGTAGGTCTGAAAATTAGGTAAATACTACCTCAGATGAACAACAACATATGATGTATTACACCATGTCATGACGTGTTTTACAAGAAAAAAAAGATGAACAACAACATATGATATATTACACCATGTCATGATGTGTTTTACAAGAAAAAAAACAAAATGGAGAAACCATGTGTGAAAAACTAAGTGCACCCTTAGTGCTTCCATAGGAATTAAGAGGCTAAGTAGCAGCCAGCTGCTGCTAACCAAATGTCCTTGAGTAATTGATCATCAACAAGTGTCACTACCTCTATAAAAGCCAAAGTTTTAGCAGTTTGCAGGTCTGGAGCACTCAGGTGTGTGTTAACACAATGCCAAGGAGGAAACACATCAGCAATGATCATAGGGAAGAAACTGTTGCTGCCCATCAGTCTGGAAAGAGTTAGAAGGCCATTTCAAAGTCCATCATTGTACAGTGAGGAAGATTACTCATGAGTGGAAGACATTCATCCCAGTTGAGGCTCCTCCTGGTGGCTAGCCTGAGAGAGGCCCATAAATCATCTACAGGAGATAGGGCCTTATTTGTGGTGGCCCCAACTTTATGGAACTAGCTTCTGGAGAGCTGCATCTAGCCTCCTCCCTGTGGGTGAGGCAATTAAAGACATTGCTTTTCAAAGAGGCTTTCCACACTAACCCCAGCAGGCCACCTTCCCCCATTTTTTCTTTCCCCTCCTCTTCTTCTCTCCCTTTTTTTCTCCATCTGCTCTGGGATTAGTTGGTGCCATCTGTGTTTTATTAGGGTTATTGCTATAATAAATCGTTCTTACTCTATTTTCCTTTCCTCCTTAGCCCAGCGTACTTCCTCCTCCCTCTCTCTTGCTCTCTCCTTTTTATCCTTCTCCTTTCCCTCCAAAACATCACCCCGGTGTTTCCACCTTTCCCCCCAAAACAAATACATGAATATAAAACAATACAAAATAATAACAATCTAAAATCCAGTGCACCCCATACTCATGGGACCCTTTGGAATAATCCTTTTATTACAAACCTCTTTTCCAAAATTGTATTGATTGTTGCTTAGAGGCTTTCCCCTTTCCTTTCAACACTACAAATTCAATAAATCTACCCCAAATAGCATAAAAATATTCAAACTTATTTCCCTCTTTTCATCTTTAGTTCAGTAGTCAATCTGTCATTTAACATAATGTCCCATACTTTATTATACCAATCTTCTAACTTGATATGTTTGTCTTTCCAGTATATAACTATTAATATTCTAGCACTTGTCATAAAATTAGAAATCAATTCCTTTGAGTGATTATCCTATCAAAAGTTGACAGCCAAGCAATTTTTGAGTTAAATTTATAATCAAGTTCTATCCTATCGAAAATTGATAGCCAAGCAATTTTTGAGTTCAATTCAGTATCTTTTCCAAATATATCACATATTTCCTTAAAAATCAGTTTCCAAAATTTCTGAATCAATTTACACTCCTACCACATATAATGCATGCCAAATTTTTCGTCACATTTCCAACAGGGCTTGGAATAGTCTGAATTTATTATGCTCAATTTCACTGGAGTCATGTGCTACCTTAAACTAATTTTTAAAAAATTCTCCTTTATTCTTACCGACATTGATCTTAGAACTCTCGCCTTCCAAATTTTTATCCAATCCTCTGTCAAACTTCTGTCTTTACATCATATTCCAAAATTGATTTTAATCCTTCTATTTCAATCTCATTTTCCTCCTGATCCAAAATTAGGTTGTAACTTTTAGTTACTACTCCCTTCTTCAAAGCATCCTTCTGCATGTCTTCATGTGATGATAGAAATTGTTCATACTTAGTACATTCTCTACATTTGCCACTAATCCTCAACCATTCATTAGTCCATCTGTCTAATTGGATATAATTGTACCATGATAATTTATTAGTTTGAAGTTTAGCTATAATCTGATCCTTCGAACTCATTTTAACCATCCAATCCTTCAATCTGGCAACAGAAACAAGAAGTAGTGACTGCTTTTTCCTACATTCAACTTCTGTTAACCTTTAAAAAAATTATTACTGTATTGTTATTCACTGATGTTATAGCTATGTCCGTACTAACAGAGCTATAGCATCAGATTGTTATTCACTGATGTTATAGCTATGTCTGTACTAACAGAGCTGAATAAAAACAATAAAAGTCATACCTTCTACCAAAATGAAGAATGCAGAGTAACCATTATGAAAACTATGGCTTTGTAACTCCAGCTTCTTGAGATGGACTTGCTTTCAGTGGTATATATATGACCCTGACATGTTTCATGGGATTAACATACCAGCACCACACCTGGTAATACAGGGAACTTGACCCTGGGAAGCTTCAATGACAACTTCCTGTCCTTTGTGAACTGTTGTTATTTTAGAGGTCCAGCCAGAGCTACTTGGGAGAAGCTAGCTGTTTACTTGGGATGGAATTTAAGGTACATGAAAGATGTATCAAAATGCTCATGTTTTCAGTGAGAAGGGAATCCCCCTCCAGATGTTTTTGGACCATAATATGCAGTATTCCTCTCATTAACTTTGTTGCCTAGAACTGACAATATTTGGAGGATCACACTTTGCACCTCTCCTCAGCTATAAATCAAAGAAAAACCATGTTACATCTGTGGGGATTTGTAAGACAAGTGATTTCTGTTTTAGTGTTTAGCACTAGAAGTGTTTCAGAAGCTGATGTTTCTGTATATACCTATAGTGTTTTTCTTTCTTTCTGTTTGGAAGTTCAAGTACAAAGACTGCACTCATAACTGTATCCTTTGGGTTGCTGCCTCGGAAATGTGTCCTTTGTTTTTTCTAAGTAAATGTTGCACAATTGGATAGACTGAGCGTAAATGTCTCTGAATCAGTGTTTCTCAAAATATTGATGAATGGTTTTTAACTTCCTTCCTCAGAATCTGCAAGGATGCTGAATTGGCATGATAGGTTAAAAATTTTTTTTAAAGAGCGATGTGTGACTGAGGAGCACTGGGTACAACATTTTTAGTCCAAGGCAATCGGCATAACTTAACTCTTTCTGAGCAATTTTAGCAAAACCATTGAACTGATCTTCCAAATGATCATAATAAAAATAACCACCAATCCAATCCAATCCAATCAATCAATCCAATCCATCAATACATCAATGTGCTGTGTTTGTAACACAAACATCATTTCTTTGGTCCTAAAAACGGACTAATGCTGCAATGTCCTGCATAGTAGTGATGTCTTTTAACCTCCTGCAAGATGGGCACCGATAATCATATGCATGTTTATTCTTATGTAAGCCCCACAGAGGTACCGGGATAGCTCAGTCAATTAGGTATTTGACTGTGATGCCAGAGATTGGGAGTTTGATACCTCATTATGCTTCCTATGAGTAAAGCCAGCCTGTGTGGCCTTGGACAAGCAGCACAGCCCCAGGGTGCCCATAGAAAAACATAAGAACTTAAGAAGAACCTACTGGATCAGACCAAGCCCCCATCTAGTCTAGCTTCCTGTCTCACAGGGGCCCGACCAGATGCCTCTAGGAGCACAGGAGACAACTAGAGACCTGTTTTCTGATACCCCTCCCCTGCATCTGGCATTTGGAGGTACCTTCCTTTTAAGCCTGGAGATTGTACATCCCCATCATGGCTTGTAACCTGTGATGGGCTTTTCCTCCAGAAATCTGTCCAATCCCCTTTTAAAGGCATTTAAGACAGATACCATCACCACATCCTGCGGCAAGGAGTTCCACAGAAGAGAGTTGCAAGTTACTTCTGAGTACTCTCTATGGAAATTGGAATCATAAGTGTAAATTGACTTGGCATACACAAGTTTAGTTAACCCCACAGAATCCTATGAGGTTTACTGCTCATTTAGCATAGCTGGCCAGTACAGTAGTCCCAAAACCAATCCATGCAATTCACCAGGACAGGACCTGTTGGTTTTTGGTCAGCTTAGTGTGTGAGCCCATAGCTACTCCTTCAGATATTTCTCTTGTACTTGTTACTGCTGAAAGTACTCCTGAGAAGAAAGAGAATATGTATTTATTGGTGACAAGAAACCATGCCCATGCCTTGTAAACAGGTACAAAAGGTAAGACGTCATAACAAAAACACCCTCATCTTCCAGCATTGCCTGCATACAGTACAGTGGTGCCTCACTTTATGAGTGCTCCGTTTGACGACGAAATCACATTATGTTGAAGATGTTCCCTATGGGGGAATTTTGCTTTGCGATGATCAGTTCCCTGCTTCGGTAACCGATCATCGCAAAGCAATGATTTTCTCAGAGCTGATTGGTGGTTTCAAAATGGCCGCCGGGTGAAAAAACCGGCCACCCGCTGTTTTCTGGGACGGATTCCTCGCTGCACAGGCAGCAAAAATGGCCGCGCTATGGAGGATCTTCGCTGGACGGTGAGTTTGAAGCCCATAGGAATGCATTAATTGGGTTTTAATGCATTTTAATTGGGTTTTAATGCGTTTCTATGGGCTTTTTAAAATCGCATGACGATGTTTTCGTTCGACAGCGATTTTTGCGGAATGAATTGTCATCACGCGAAATAGCAGAGATTGAACGTGCTCTGCACGTAGAATAGGTGTTCTAAAGCCTACTGCTCTGAAATGAAATCCATCATAGGTTTCATACTCTCTGTGGCATGAATCCGTATTACCTCGAATTCAGGATTCTTTTATTTGTTTCTTTTAAAAAAAAACAATCCATCATGTTACAAGTAATAAATACAAAGCTTAACATTGTAAACTGCCATCTTACTTGTTTTATTTATTTATTTGATTTATACCCCGCCTATCTGGTCTACTCGACCACTCTAGGCGGCTATAATTTATCCGTTGACCAATTGCTATCCTCTCCTCTATAATATAGTCGAACTGGGGATTCTAGGAAGGAAACCCAACCTTTTCCAATGCATAATTTAGGCGCGTTTTGGAACTAATAAGCATGCCTAACTGCATAGAATATCACCTTTACTCCGGCAACATTTATAGGCTGTCCAGCCCGTGTAAAAATCACTGCTAGAGAGTTCTACTGGACACATCGCAGACTTTTCCATGTCCTTCCCTTAAGTTAAGAACATTCACAGTTCGGCAAAGCTCGTTTACCTTCCAAAAAGCCGTGGGCAAATTTACTGTTTAAATGGCATTACTGTTGCCACCCTCCGTAGTTTTTCCATCTAATCCGGACTCTGGGGCCTTTATCATGCAGAACTCAAAACTTCAATGTCAGCTTTCCAGCACTTTTTTTCCCCTCTCTCTCTTTCTCCCCCCACCCACCCTTTTCAATCCCGGCGAGCCCTTAAAGAAAGGTTTCAGGTTTCGGGATCGGCACTTCCCCGCCTCCCTGATTGCGGGGCATTGTGGGAGTTACAGTTCGCGAGAACGGCGTCGACGTAAAACGTTCAAAGGGGGGGGGGCAATCAGAAGAAAAG